AAGAATCAAGTCAAACTCCTCCAAAGGTAACTCCATCAGGTCGACCAGAAAGATCTCCACATGGATCTCTATAAGAAACTCTCTAAAAATACGATCTAACTCTAGGGACTGACCTACGTGACTTTGAACTGTCACCGAACTCTCAGTATTCTCCACTGGGATATTAAGACCCTTAGAAATAGAATGTGACACATAGGAATGGGTAGAACCATTATCAAATAATGCAAAGTATGGAATCACATCAGGCTCATCATCGTGGTCATGTCGACGTCTAGCAGGTAACCAACGCATGTTGTCTAACCTTAGATCTGGCTTGGCCCCTACTATGAGAAGCTCAACCTCTACTAGTTGATCTCAATGCTCTCTCCTGACTATGACCTCCTGTTGGAGGATGAACTGTACTCCGAGTACGAGCGGGAGTACGAGCTGGTGTATGAACTGTAAGAGATGGCTCTGGACAATCCCTCAGGAGATGGCCACCAGAACCATATCTAAAATAGGTACCCAACTTCTTCCTGCATTAACCAAAATGACTTATTCCACAGTACTCACATGACAGCAAAGGCTGCGATCCAAAAGGATCACCCTGAATAAAAGGCGTCACAACCGACGAACTTGATGCCACAAGCCTGATGCCACAAGCCTGACACCCACACCGCCTCTCTAAAAAAGACTCACCTCTTCCTCTCTTGTTGGGGTGTGTAGAAGAGTCAATAGAACTAGAAGACTTCCTAAATCAGTCTCGATCTCGGTTTCTATCTCTCCTACGCTCCATACCCACTCGTTCTATCTCCTAAGTGGTCTTAGCTATCTTAACCAAGGAATCAAAGTTTCTCTCCTGGTGGCTAGCAGCTCAACTCCTGATCTCATTCCTGAGTCCATTCTCGAACATCAAGCACCGATCTGATTCAGTGTCAACAAGTCTAGTAGCATAGAGACTCAACCTGATAAACTCAATCTCATAATCCATGACAGACATATCACCTTGCTCCAAATTCTAAAACTCTTGGCGTCGCTCTTGCAAGTATCTCTCTCTGATGTAGTGACTCTGAAAACGTGCCTTGAAAAGATCCCAAGTCAATTGATTCCCGGAATACTACCGAAAATTGATTGCAACCATCTAAAACTCTCTTTCTTAAGCATAGCTAGGCCCCCCTTTAACTTTTTCTCAAGCCTTAGGTCCATCTCATCCATAATCCTCTCTGTATCCTCCAACCAATACTCAATTTCAGTCAGAGGTCCACCAATAATTCCCTCAAATGGAACTACTCCAGCAGCTACCAAAGACTTCGAAATCTCGATCACAGACATATTACCAAGGACTTTAGCAACTCTCCTGAACATACAAAAAATAACACTATTAATGGCATCCTCATCCATATCAGTGTCCTCATCCTCAGTGACGGGAGGGTCTCTCGCAAGTGTAACCGGATCATCTCTGGGAATAGACGGATCTAAATGCGGAATATGAGGATCTCGCGATGACATCAGATCGTCTACAGTAACAAAAGGTCGAGTCACTCGCCCTCAACAACGGCCACGTCTTGGCCTACAACCTCTAGCAGCACTCATCAGATAAATCTACAAGGCTCTACGAAAAGAATTTGAACCTAAGTTAGACTTATATCAGGAATCTCAAATATATTTAAACCTCGTAAAATAAGATGACATGATTTTTGAAAACATCAAAAGATCTTGAAAATCCATAATTTAAGACTCATCTACAGTTCGAGTGTTTAAAACCGAAGGATCTGATACCACCAAGTGTAACCCCCAAACCTAGCATGGGCGTTCCAAATCTAGGCGGTTACATATCTTATTCAAAAATTTCTTTTCATATTTAAATAACGTTTAAATCTATATACACTATAATATGAAATTAGTCATAAGAAAGATTCATACGATAAACATCCATATATCAATATTTACATTTATCAGAAAACTGTATAAAACATATACATAGTAAAATACCGGTAATACATATATATCAAGACGGAAGCAAAAACAAGTGTCACCAAAGTATAACAAAAAGGTATATAAAGATATACAATGATACAAAAATACTGATAATATATGATTTGATATGCAGCCCTGTATTCACTCACTTGGCTGGGAGCATTGGGGCATGGAAGGCTATATCCCCTGAAGTCCTACAAGCAGCTTTCAAGGTTCCGGCTGAGACAGAGAAGCTTTTCAGGTCCAAGAGAACCAATAATACATCTTCTTCCCTCCACCAAGTTGAAGAAACAAATTTCTTGACCTCTCTTCTAGTTTTAGTTTTTTTCCTCTCCAATTAAATGGATTTTAGTGATATAGAATTGTATGTTTAGAAATAACATCGATTTTTCTTTCGGTTTATGTAGTGGATGATATGATATTAGTGAATTAGAAGGTTTTAAGTTTTCATAAAATTACAAGACCGCGTGATTGATTGATGATCTCCTTTATACTGGAACCTACCCTTGATATGATACTAGTTAAGATAACGGTAAATGCAAATGCATGACTGCTACCATCCATTGAACTTGCTAAACAAAACAGATTTTTTTTTGTACAGAATGAGGATCTATCTGAAAACTTAATGAAATTTTCTTTCTTCTAAACTTTTCTGCCATCAAAGGGTTCCATGAAATCGCAATAAATCACGAGCATCTACTGGGCGCTCTTCAAACTCATGCGGAAGAACAAGAACAGGAGAACCAGATCAAGGATGAGAGCGATGATGGGTAGGGGAGAAGTGTCCAAATTGCCGCTGTCGCTTCCAATAGAATGGGCTGAAAGGATTTACCTGGACAACTCCCTTATTCTGAGACTGTTTCCACCCAGAAGACACTCAAGCGGTGGCCGAGTATTCTCGATTGCAAATAATAACCCAGTTCTATCAAGAGGCGGAGGATGAGCGAAAGGACCTCAGGCATTTGTTTTTAGACATGAATAACAAGGTTTAAGCATTCGATCGAGCCGAATCCAATGATTTTGAGTTTTTCGAGTTGATGAGTAGTATTTTATGTTTCAAATTTAATTTGAATTTTTTTTTCGAGTCTAGTTGTTCGAGTTTCTATATAAATTTATTGTAACTTTTTATAGTATAATGATACGAATTCGTTTCAGCTTTTATCTTTCTCTAATCATATAAAATATATATATTTTTTCATATTCTTTTCATATTATAATTTTATTTAATATATCACATACAATTTAAAATTATAAAACATATTTACAATTTTTTATTTCCAAAAATGTATTTTGAGGGTAAAAGTTTGACGAGAGTATAAGAGTCAAATGTGAAGAAAGAATTTATAAACAATTGTAGTAAAAAGATTAAATTGAATAAAATGTAAAGTTAAGAGACTAAATTGAAAAAAAAGAGAATACATTTTTAGAAAACACAAAAAGGAACTAAAATTACATAGGTATTCTATAGTGGTTAGAGAACATGTGGTTTAAATTTGGTCAAAAACATACTTTAAATGAAGGATGAACTGATGAAATACAAAAATTATGCAAAAGTAAGGTGCTAAATTGAAAAAAATATAAAATTTGTAATCAAAAAGAGAACTTAAAAGTATATATGTATTCTATGATGATTTAGGAGTATGTGGTTCAAATTTGATAGAGATTGACAAAAAATGAATGAGAAATCGAAGAAATAGGAAATCGGAGACCAAATCGTATATTTGTCAAAATAGTCATCTAAATTTTTAGTTTTTTGACTACTTGAAAATTTGAAATTTTAACTCGGTTCGAACTCGAAAACCAAATCAATAATTCGAGTTGACTCGAATAATTTAAATAATTTGTGTAAGTGTTGATGATAAAATAATTCAAATTTTAACTCGGTTCAAACTCGAAAACCGAATCAATAATTCAAGTTGACTCAAATAATTCAAATAATTCACATAAATGACTAAAAAAACTGATGCTCGAGTCCAGTTTGCTCACCCACAAGAATAACAAGAAAGTTTTCTAATTATATTTAAATATAAAATTCGCAAGTCTAGATTAATCTAATAAGAATACTTTGTGTGAGTGTTGATGTTATAACTATATGATACTGTAATCATGTCTGATATGCGTACATCTCTAATGATGGTTGACATGTATAAGAATCTAAAAGCATATTAATTTTGTTAATTCGACTATATAAATATAGTTAAGTCGTCTTTTATATTTATATGCTACATGCATATATTAATATATATTTTTAAATTTTAATAATTTATCATTTTATATTTGTGATATATATTTATTTTTTGAACTTTAAATAGTGTTTTAGTGGTTTTAGTATTTTTTAAATTTTTTTAGTGAGATTGTTTTATTTTAATATTTAAAATATTTTAATATTTTTTAAATTTAAAATAAATTTTTAGTATTTAAAGAAGTTTTAAAATTAAAAAAATTAAATTAACCCTTAAACTCAATAAAACAATTATTTAGTATATTTACCATATTTTTTTAGTACATGTGAACTATTACACCATAACGGTAGGCTGTCATGTTAACATTGTAAGCTATCATGTTAGCGTCATACCGATCAACACTTAATTTTGTAGGTTAAAGGACCAAATTAACTTTTTTTTTCTTAATTTAAGGGTCACATTAATTTTTTTTAAAGAATTGGAGGACATCATATAGTATTAAGCCAATTTTTATACCCGAAGGATGTAAAAAAATATCATATAATTTATAAATTATATGTATAGTTTACCCAAAAAGAAAAGGAAAAAGCATCACATATTTAATTATTTTTTTGGACAAAGATAAAAATTAAATCGCCATCGGAGGAAGAAAACAAATTGGAAAAGAGCTGAAGAAAGAAATCAACAAAATCCAAAGATTCAATACAGGATAGAAATGGAACATGCCAGGAAATCAGCCCGCTTTCTGATTTACGTCAACAACAAAAACTAAAAATTAAATCTCACTTTCCCTTTCTGATTACTGTAGTGAGACTTTCCTTTTCGATTCAATATTTGCTTTTTGCTGTGAAGCACAATTCAATGACTTCTTCGAGCTCCCTTGGGAGTTCAATGACTTCTTCGAGCTCCCTTGGGAGTTCAATTCCGGCTCCAGGTATACTTCAATTTCACTATGCCCCAGTTTAATCACTACTGCTATTAATTTTCGAGAAAATAACCTCAGTGACCGAAAATTCCTTATAATATACGATTTTGATCAAATTTTTTTTGATTTACCAAAATGACCAACAAAATCGCAATGCGATCTTTAAATCGCAACGCGATCTTTAAATCGCAACGCGATCTCTATCGCAAATCAGTTTCCAGATTCGCAATGCGATTTTGACTATCGCAACGCGATTTTGACTATCGCAACGCGATTTTGACTATCGCAATGCGATTTTCAAAGCGCCATTAGTAACGCAATGCGTATTTTATTTTCAAATTCCAAACACGAATATTAATATATCCCGGAATCGCAACTCTAAACCTAAAACCCTAAATCACAACTCAGTCTCATCTCCATCTCTCACTCTCTACGGCGACATCCGTCCCCATCTCCGGCGAAATCCGTCTATCTCCATCTCTCAGAGCCACCCTCACAATCATTCACGATCAGAAATAAAAAATCAATCAAATCAACCACCGATGGTTAGTTTTTTTAATTATTTTTATTTTGAAATTTTTGCATTATTAGGTTTTTCATTGAAATTGATGATAAGTTTACTGGTAATTTCAATAATAGATTAACCATTTCACTTAGATTGCTTATTAAATTCATTCGATTGCTGCCAATACTGCTAAACTGTTTAGTCTTTAACCCTGTGAAGTTAGTATTTGTCTTTGTTTTGTCTTTTGGTTGAAGTAATGCAATTCATTCAAGTTTTAATTTTAGACAATGACTATTTGAAACCGAAGATCGCAACGCGAAATGAAAATCGCAACGTGATTTTAGTTTCGCGTTGCGATTTTCATTTCGCGTTGCGATTTTCATTTCGCGTTGCGATAGTCAAATTCGCGTTGCAATAGTCATTTTCGTGTTGCGATTTTCATTTTCGTGTTGCGATTTTAAGTTTCAGAAACTATTATTCTTCTGCAAATTGAAACTTGAATGAATTGCATTACTTCAACCAAAAAAACAAAGACAAATACGAAATTCATAGTGTTGCAAATTTAAGTTTGAAGAATAAACTACTACTACTCTTTATGTTTATTATTGTTTTTGGTATATCTTCACAGTGTAGTTTTTGGTATATCTAACTTGGTATGTTTATTATTTTTGTAGAACTTTTTTTCGGCTCAATTGACCTTAAGGAATAAATTGCATTACTTCAACCAAAAAAACAAAGACAAATACGAAATTCATAGTGTTGCAAATTTAAGTTTGAAGAATAAACTACTACTACTCTTTATGTTTATTATTGTTTTTGGTATATCTTCACAGTGTAGTTTTTGGTATATCTAACTTGGTATGTTTATTATTTTTGTAGAACTTTTTTTCGGCTCAATTGACCTTAAGGAATAAAATAAGCCTAGTCACTACAATTGCGTCGAAGCTTTCACTTGTACAAAGAAAATTGTTTGAGGATACTTGCTTCGGGCCATGGCTGAAAGTACAACATCCAGGTGGAGATGTTATGTTGACCCATTTGTGGCTTCAGACCATGACTAGAGATCTACCCGAGAGTATAAAACGTGGTAATGAAGAGATATGGTTTCATTTTCCACCGACGTATACGTGTTTTAGGCGGGAGGAGTTTTGCTTAATCACTGGTCTACGCTTCGGAAACGATGATGTAGGTTGATACACTAGTCATATTACCCGCCCATCATGGTTATCCCGGGTTTTTCCTTAGCTTTCAATGCAGAAGCCGAATTTACACGTCGATGACTTGACGAGATTATTTAATAAGAAAGATGGTTTTACTCGGATGGATGACGTCGATGTTGTCCGAGTATGCCTTTTAGTACTTTTGCATGACGACTTTTTAGGTAGAAAGGCCAGACAACCTATTCCTAAGGACCTAATATTATTGGTAGATGACCTAAATGCATGGAACCTGTTTCCGTGGGGTTCATATCTATGGAAAGCTACCTGGAATAATTTGTCGTCTGCCTTTGATGATCGCAAAAGTTTGCGTGGCGATGGTTCCAAATACACTTTGTCAGGCTTTATTTGGGCCTTTAAGGTAAGAATTTCTATATAATGTTTCCAAAATTATAATTAATTATTTAATAATTACTAATGTTTGTGTATTATATTGTTTGTAGATTTGGATATTTGAGGTTTTTCTCGACATGCAGACATATGCATTAAAAACTTCAAATGATATTCCTAGGGCTATTTCCTGGAAGAGGAAACGACGGCTGTTGATTTGGGAAGAGTTACTACGGTATACGACAATAAATGATGTAAGTTAACACAAATACTACCATATATAAACAAGTTATTACTAGTACACGTTTAACTTTGTTTGAGCTTTTATATTGTTAGGAGGCCAACACTCCATTACAGAGGCTGATACCCACGGAGGTTGAGCTTGCCACTGATTGGTGGCAAGCTAGTAAGCGTTTTTTTATGGCACGGATGATGAGCAGCCTCCACTTCGAGAGCCATCACCTCACCCAGAGCCATCACCTGATTGACCACACTATACACCTCTACAACGAGAGCCATCACCTATTCCGCCACATCATTGAGCCTCTTCTCCACCATCACCTCATGATAGGCGACCGGCAAAGATGCCACGACATTTATCTCCCTGTTCTCCACCTCCACGGGATGAGTTAGGGGAGTTATGGGATGAGGTCAATGCCTTGCGTGAGGAGGTCGGTACTTTACGCGATGACAATGGTGCATGGCGTGATGAGGTATCTACTTTATATGGTGAGGTAGCGGCTCTACGTGAGATGGTAGCATCATTTCAGAATGAGGTTCATACTCTACACAACGAGGTAAGTTTAAGATTTTTCATATTTAACTTGATTTACTCGTAATTTCACTTAGATTAACCATTTCACTTAGATTGCTTAGTAAATTCATTCGGTTGCTGCTAATACTGCTAAACAGTTCTAAAATAACCCTGTGAAGTTAGTATTTGTCTTTGTTTTGTCTTTTGGTTGAAGTAATGCAATCCATTCAAGTTTCAATTTGCAGAAGAAGAATAGTCGCAACACGAAACTTAAAATCGCAACGCGAAAATGACTATCGCAACGCGGAAATGACTATCGCAACGCGGAAATGACTATCGTAACGGGATAATCGCAATGCAAAATAAAAATCGCAACGTGAATTTAGTTTCGCGTTGCGATTTTGGTTTCGAGTTGCGATTTTCTCGTTGCGATTTTTATTTCGCATTGCGATTATCTTGTTGCGATAGTCAAATTCGCGTTGCGATAGTCATTTTCGCGTTGCGATTTTAAGTTTCGTGTTGCGATTTTAAGTTTCAGAAACTATTCTTCTTCTGCAAATTGAAACTTGAATGGATTGCATTACTTCAACCAAAAGAAAAAGACAAATACTAACTTCACAGTGTTACAAATTTAAGTTTCAAGAATAAAATACTACTCTTTATGTTGTCCTTGAACATGCACTAAACCTATATGTTGTCCTTTTAAATGTTTATATAAGTGCTTACTTCTGGAATGTTATCTGATGTATTTTGTGAACTATGATATAATAATGACTTGGGTGAATACCGTGCAAGTTTGAAACATATTTGTCTTTGTTTTCACTATTTAATATCATGTCTTTTTATTTACTGATTTATGTATTAATTTATTTTTAGCGGCCCAATAAGGTGGATGTTTATGTCGGGTTTTTCTTGCACGACGGGGTTCACGCATCAGACGACGTGCACGTGCCATTACGTCTCCGTTCACCCCAATAGTGCGAAGACTCCGTAAGAAGAAGCTTGACTCACCTGTCATCGTTCAAGAGGCCTCTCCTATCGTTCAAGAGGCCCCTATCATCCCTCAAGAGTCCCCTCCCACCTTTCAAGAGGCCCCTGTCATCGTTGAAGAGGTCCCTCCCACCATTCAAGAGCCCGATTCACACGGCGTAATATGTCGAATTATTGAGAAATCTTCTCACGTGCCGGACATGATGGATGATTGTTGGCTTTCATATGAGTTACCGGCCAGTACCATTCCTGCAGATGAAGTGGAGAGGAGAAAACTACAGGAAACAATTCTGGATAATACCCTTTGGGCTAAGACCGTAGTTGATTTTTATCTATATGAGCGGAGCCAGGGGTGTTATGCTAACATATAAAAACTCAGCGATGAATGTGTAATAAGTGATAACAACTAAACAGATCACAACAATGTTCAAACTCAAGTTACTAATACATGCCTAACTGAAAATGTTAAAAGTTTACGCATAAAATACACATAATACAACGTTTGCATTTAAAAATCACCTAAGTTAATAGTTCCAAAAGGTGAAGCCGGTTGTGATTGGGATTTTGATTTTGATTGCGATTTTGATTGCCTTTTGCTTGACACCATATGAGCTTTGGATTTTGATGAGGATCCATATTTTGGTAAAGGAAAAGATGATTGTGATGGCACTGGTGATCCACATGTCAACCTTGTATGACCACTTTCCTTGCACCGACTACATGCCGATCTCTTCTTCTTTTCACCCTTAGATGGTATACTATCGTGACTTTTTGGTCGGCCCAGGTAGCCTTCTGTCCATGGCTGGTGGCAAAACTGTTTGTAAGTCATCTGGTATGTCCCACTCAGAAGGATGTGGAATAGGGTAGATAATATCATCATAAGTCTGTCGATATACTTCTGTAGTATAGCAATCCATAGCGTATGCGCTTGAATCATCTTGGTTTAGATGAAGAGAAACTTTTATAACATGGCCACATGGATAACCAGATGTTTGCCATTTCATACAACTACACGTCTTTGCATTTAGATCAACAAGCCCATTAAAGTTATTATCCAGTACTTCAAACAAAGTGTTTGAACATGGTTCAACTCTCCATGACGTTGACTTCACAACACGTTTCGTTATCTTTTTTTCAGTCCATGGTGTAACACGATGTTCCAATGTTCCTGTAAATCTAAATAAATAATACTTAGTAAAATATATGATAAGTTACGAATTTAAAGAAATAATACATGCATGGTTTCTTTTCTTGTAGTACCACTGTTGAATAGAGGCTCGAAAAAACTCCATTAACATAGTAATGGGTAATTTTCGGGACTGACGACTTAGAGCGTTGATTGATTCTGCACTATTAGAAGTCATGAAACCATATTTTACTCCAAGTTGATGTACTCTTGACCATCTTTCAAACCCGACATCTTATAGTGTTTGAGCACATTGAGGCAAAATACGTCTTAAACAATTTATATGCTTATTAAAATCCACTTCCAAATAAGCTTTTACAGCCTTCCAGTATGTCAATTTGTGATTTTTTATACCAACAGACCTTGATTTTAGATTTCTATACAAATGAATACCACAAAGTCCATGAAAAGCATCTGGGAAACACCTTCTAACAGCGTTGTCAATTGAGTTTGCCCTATCGGATATGATTGTCAGATTGCTAATAGGACCTATGCAATCCCTATGATGCCCCATAAACCATGCCCATGAATCAGAGGTTTCAGATTTGCTAACCCCGTAAACTATTGGCAATATCCCATTGTTAGCATCCATGACTACTGCTAATAAGTTTACTCCAAGGTATCTACCTTTCAAATGTGCTCTGTCAACTATAATAACTGGGCGCATGCAAGTAATAAACGAACGAATCTACAAAATAATATACACAAGAAATATAATCATTTAAATGTGAAATGCATGTAACTAACAAAAATGAGTCAACAAAATTATATTGATTTACTAACCGCAGCACCAATGGTGATAAACATCAACTCAAAGCGTCAATCTCTATCTGTTTTGATATGAGTTACCGACCCAGGATTTTTCAGCTTTAAATTGTGACAATAAGCCGACAGTTGGGCAAACGATGCTTCTGGCGACCCCCTCAACAATTCCAAGGCATAAAATTTTGCTCTCCAAGCTTAAGAATATGAGATACTAATCTTGAACCGAGCATTCATGTCAGTCATAATTTCATGTCCCCAATATACCCTGCCATTCAAAAACATTAACTCGGCCAGAAAACCACCCAACATCTTTTTGTTTGCCTGTCTATGGTGAGGAAAAACTTGGGTTCTTGAACATGTATGTTTATCAATAAAAGTCCTAACTTGAAACATTTCGCAATCTTTTATCCTCTTTGCAATCATACGCCACGTACAGTTTTTATCAATCATACACCTTGTTTCGAAACAATCTTTGCTTGATTTGTTAACTTTTAGTTGATAGCCATCTTCAACACATTTCGTATACAAAGCTATCTTCAAGTTTTCCTTTGTATCAAAACAATCATCTTTCTTGATACGAATAATTTTTGTGTAACAATCAACTGCTATCTTTACCAACTCTTCTTCCGGTATCTGAAGTAATTCTGGCATATTCCAGTTATACTCCCGTGGCATTTTCTTCGGGGACTTTTTTTCGGGGATTTCTTCTTCTTCTTTCTTTTTCTTCTTCAGGGTTATATGAATTATAGAATAGATGTTCAACATGTTCATTCACAGTCGTAACTTCCTCCTCATTATCATCAATAACATCTTCCTCGGCAGCGGCTGTTTCATCATCAAAATTCGGGTATTGACCAATATCAAAATTATTACACGCAGGGCCTGTTTCTTCTTCTGAAACATCATCAAAATCTGAGTATTGACCAAGATCAAAGTCCGGGTATTGACCAAGATCAAATTTCGAATACTGACTAGTACTCACAATTTTTTCTGTTGGCTCATCATCGTCTAACTGGTCAATACGAAAACCAGAATTTGGTGCTGAAAGTTGATTGGGATTTGAATTAGGGAAAGGTTGTGGGTTTTGAGATTGTGTTTGGTATTGAAAATGTGGTGAGTCAAAATTTTCTTGGTGATGAAATTGTGGTGGAACCATTAAATTTTGAGCACCATAAACTGGGGTTGAAAAACTTAGTGATATACCCGTTACTGACCCAACTTCACTACTTCTAGGTTCAACAACATACAATGTAACATCATCTTGCGAAACACTAATGTAAGCAATGAATCGTTCAACATCTCATTGTCGGTTAACAAATAAACTTACATTTTCTCTGATAAGATAGCCCCCACTTAGGGGCTCTAAATTCAATTATTTGCAACACGAACATTAGAGTTTCATAAGTTAACTTTTTAATGACAGTTTAGTTGAAGATTTCATAGGTAAATGCATATATTGTAAAACACCATGAACATTCTCTCATGACCCTCTAAAACACAAATCTATCCAAACATGATCAACATTAGATGATTTCATTATTGTAAATTAATTTACTAAACAAACGAGCTGCGAAACTAAAACCTGTTGCCGGATGGGGAAGGATTTCGTTGGATATAGGAACGGATGTCGCCGGAGAGAGTGATAGATGGAGATGGAAGTATATACCCAAAACATTTGTGTTGCGAAACTAAAACCTGTTGCGAATTTGAAATTCATAGTTGCGACAGTCAGAATCGCGTTGCAATAGTCAGAATCACGTTGCGATAGTCAGAATCGAGTTACGATTATGTATTATCGTGTTGCGATAGTCAGAATCGCGTTGTGATTATGTATTATCGTGTTGTGATAGTCAGAATCACGTTGCGAATCTGGAAACTGATTTGCGATAGTGGAGATCGCGTTGTGATTTAGAAATTGCATTGCGATTTTGTTAGTCATTTTGATAAATCGAAAAAAATTTAGTTAAAATCGTATATTATAAGGAATTTTCGGTTGCTAACTCTTAATTTTCTTATAAACTGTCTTTTTCTTTAACAAAAAACAGAGGTCGTTCAAGTTCTCGTATCATCGCTCGCTGATGAATCTCCCATGGTGCGGGAAGCCATGGAGGCTTCCCTGAAAGAAATTTCTCCACTGTACTTCTTTTCCCCTTTTTTTATTCTCCAAATAAGTTTATATTATTCATTTTTTCTGGTCCAAGTAAGTGTATTCAATTCAATTTCCTTTATATTGTAATCTGAACTTTGGTTACTGAATTAGGAATCCTCTTCTAGTGCTGGACTGTTGCTCCGTTGTTTCTCGAGGCGGCCGTCGGGTAATAATTATCTTCTTCTTCTTTTTGTTTTTCTTAGATTTAGAAAATTATGAATTGGAACTAAAATTTTAATTTTCTGGATACTTAATTGTAGAGATTTGGTAATATGGCTGGAGTTTTTCAAGTAATGGCATTTGGAGTTCGAGCTTTAGATAAAAATGACATCGATGCTTCTTATATTTGCAAGCTTGCCAAAATTGCTACCACTGAGATTGTCTCCTCCAAGGTAAAATGGCTGGAGTTTCTTGTTCCTTTTGTTGCACTGGAGTTGATAGCATACATTTAGAACTAGAAAACATGTTCTCACCTATATATGCTCAGGATTTTGGCATGAATTAGGTTGTCGTACCAACTTTTTGCACCCTCTCTTAGTAACCGTTCAATTTAGGACTGACTTTTTGCAAGCTTGCCAAAATTGCTACCGCTGAGATTGTCTCCTCCAAGGTAAAATGGCTGGAGTTTCTTGTTCCTTTTGTTGCAGTGAAGTTGATAGCATACATTTAGAACTAGAAAACATGTTCTCACCTATATATGCTCAGGATTTTGGCATGAATTGGGTTGTCGTACCAACTTTTTGCACCCTCTCTTAGTAACCGTTCAATTTTGGACTGACTTTTAGGCTTTTAAATTTGTTTGGTATAATGAGAGCAAAAATTTAAACATGGTTTTTCTTGTTTCTGTTGCTGAGTTAATGTTTGAATTGGTAGATGATATTTCCGAGGGATTCTGTAGTTTCTTTTTGTTTTATCAAAATTTGTAGACCTTTTTTTTACTATTACTGGCATCAAATCCACCATCCGGTGTCTCTTTGGGAACTAGGAAAACATAATTCTCGTTAGTATTGCCTGACACTATAACCCTCTTTGGTAAGTAGCCTAGTAATCCAATTCTCACATGCTTTCTTGAGGCAATTAATTTTTCATGGATGATGATTCGTAGTTTTCATGTCTTGCTTACTATTATATAGGAACTCAGTGCAGATTGGCAAAGAGCAGCAACAAGTCTTCTTGTTGCAATAGGCTTACACCTTCCTGACCTGGTAAGTGTTGCTTGCTGCTAGTTTTCTATTCTTGAAGAACATTGGAAGGAAGAAAAGAGTGCCTCATATTTTATTAAATAGAATACCAAGTACAAGTGGTAACACCGAACCCTCATATGGGAATATACACCATTACAAAAGCCATATCACCTAAAAATCTTTCATCTTCAAACAAAAAGCCCCTAAGACAATAAGTCCCTTCTTGGTCCCATGGTGATCAACTTCAACAACAAAAAGAGCAGGTGTTGCCTCCACTAAAGAAAGCTTCTCGATCCTATAATTCCTACCTTGCGAAGGAGACATACCACTATCATCAATCCTAACAACAGGAGGTTGACTGTCTAATGTTCCTTTAACAGAGCATTTTTTCAAAGAATTGGTTGAAAGAGGACGTTCACCTGACCTCGCAGAAACTGCTCTTAAATTTTGCTGATTATGGTGGGTAGGAGAGTGCCTGTAGGTAGTGCCGTCGGGCTCAACTGTCCAACCTGCCTCCTGGGCCAAGGCTGCCAGAACAGCGTTCATATCAGAACGCACGGGAAGAGAGAAATTACCATAATGCCTCAAACCAGCCAGCAAACGTCTGGTGAAAGCTCGCCTGTTTCGTTTCCGAAGCTTTGACCTCTCCTTTTCATTCTCCATCTCACGTTTTTCCTTACCGGAGTAGGAAAAACCAGATCTGCTGTTGCTTCCAGAGGCTGCACCTGCCGCTATTGTTGCAGCTCGAGATTGCTTGGGCTGAGACAGGGGTTGGGGCTCCATGGTGAGATACTAGGATAGGAGGGTTCTGGTCGCAAGAAGATGCTGAGTCCGGTGGAGAGATGGTGACGAGCACGGACGGCGGAAAGTGGCGTAAATCGGCAGTGGACTTCTTGAAGATCTGCGTTGATTGACAGTCTCAATCGCAAAACTCAGGCCAGATTTGAAATCACCGAGAGCCGGTGATCTTCGCAGGAAAAAAGGGCGTCAAACGGTGGTCGGAGTGTGGCGGCGGACGGCTAACAGCGGCGACGGGTGGCGGTCGGCTATGGCGGACAACAGGTATCGGAGGAGAGAGTAATATTCAAAAACGCCTGGGCTCGTTCAAATTTGAAATTTGAATCGCCTGGGTTAGAGAGAAGCTGGAACTTCTCTCACTAGCACGTGTATGACGTTTATTTAGAGAGGAGGATTTCAATTCTTGCATATTGGCAAAGGGATGCTGTTTATTTAAGATTTTTTTTTTGATTGCTTTCTTTCTCCTCTCCTCTTCTGTTTTGTATTTTCTTTTACTTTACAAGCTCTTCGCTTATTAACCATATCAAGTTGGTCATAATCATGGTTTGTCTTGGTTTTGCAGATGATGGAGGAAATATTTCTTCATTTGTCAGGGCCAAGCTCAGCCTTGCCAGCTATGATTGAAATACTTGCAGATTTCGCTTCTGCTGATGGTTAATAACTTACCTTTGTGGTTCTTTGTGCTTTTTTTTTAACTTGAATTATCCTTGGATTGTTGCAATTTCTTTGTTTAACATTTTTTTATTCAATTCAATCAAGCTTTGCTGTTCACTCCACGTTTGAAAGGCGTGCTTTCCCGAGTTTTACCTATTCTTAGAAATGTTACAGATGTCCACCGGCCAATATTTGCAAATGGTAATATAAGTGGCCTCTTTATTTTTCAAAAACTTAGTTATATAGTAATGTTCACAGCACGGAGTGGCCTTGTTGATTTCTCTTGAAATCTTTTAAAATTTTTAAGTTTCAGTCTTTGCTAGCATCTGGATTTCATTTTAATAAGTTAATCATGTCTTTCAATTTTCATTGAAGTTTTCTTCTTTGGAGCTTGAACTTCATGACCTTCATGTATGCCTGAAATATAAGTAATGGTTTACCCATATGAGGTTCTCTTCTCTGATATGAAGTAGCTGGTGAAAGAAGTTGGTTCTTTTGACTCTGTTTGTTGACAAATTTTATTAACTCATGTTGCTCTCTTATGTTAGTTTACCTCTTTTCTTGTTCTCCTGGTTTGATGTTCAACCATTTTTCTCAACTTTGATGATTCGTTTTAGATATATGTTTGCATATCTTATATTGGCAGCTGACTAACCCATGATGATATGTTCTTCTCACAATAGCTTTTAAGTGCTGGTGTCAAGCTGTCTGGCAATGTAAAATTGATTTCCCTTCAAATTCCTTGATCGATGGCGATGTCATGTGAGTTACAGTAATACAAATTTTATTGGTTCCTTTTTTTATACCTTATATAATTTTCTGATTTTTTAAGGCCTAAAATTACATGTTTTTACACAGGTCATTTCTGAATTCTACTTTTGAACTTCTGTTAAGAGTCTGGGCTGCTTCCCGAGATCTTAAGGTTTGCCAAGTCTAGATATTTGTTTATACATTTATGTATTAAAAGCCTAAAAGTATATATATGAATATATTACATTGTTTTATTATGGTCTTATTGTTGCTTGATTTTGGGGGAAAAACCTACACACATAGGACAAGACTCCCTCGTGTTTTTCTTAGTTCTGTGTGTTCATCCAAGAGGATAAAAGAAACAATTATAAATTATACAAAGAGAACTAATTTCCTTAAGAAAATCACTTGCTCACGAAAAGCATATCCAGTCAGTCACTTATATGACTTCTACTTTTGTTTGTTAATGATCTAAATGTACTTTTATTTTGCATCCTGTTTCTTGGATCTAAAGTGAGTTTAATGCTGTTGACTATATTCTTATTTGCATTAGGTTCGAGTATCTTCTGTGGAAGCATTAGGGCAAATGGTTGGTCTTATCACCCGCACGCAATTAAAGACAGCTTTACCTAGACTTATCCCTACGATATTGGAGTTGTAAGATTCAAGTTTTGTTTGACTTTTACAATTCTGTTCGAAAAATTTCATATATTTTTCTTTTCATCAGGTATTTTTTTTTTATAGAAGTTGGAGGTCTCATTAAAAACCTCCTTCGTGGTTGACTTTTTCGAATAGGAAAAGGTCAACCAGCGGAAGGAGGAAAAGAGTACCTCAATTTATTAATAACAGAAGCATACATTATAAGCCTTTACAAAACAACAAATACTTAGCCAATCCCTGCCTTAGCTAACCTGTCGGCTTCCCAATTACAACACCTAGGAATAAACTGCACTACCAAACCCCTGAACATTACATAAGACTTAATTTCCTTGATTAAATTACTAAAAAACACCGGAGAGAGATTGGGTAAGTGGACCCACTCCACTGCATTCTTGCAGTCAGTTTCCAGAATTAATCTGCCCTTTGAAACCCAAACAGAGGAGTAGAAAATGTTGATAGCCTTCCTAATTGCTTTCAACTCTGCTAGAGGGGGTGGCCCTGTGCTTTCTGAAAACGTCGCTAAAACGAAACCGTTATGGTTTCTGAGGATACCCCCAATGCCGCCCGTCATCCCATCCTTTTTGACTGCACCATCGACATTAAATTTAAAGAAATCAGCTGGTGGAGGGAGCCATTTCTGGACAGACCTATTAGTAGTGTGAAGACCCTTGAAACCATCTGCTAAAGTCGGTAGTGGAATGGATTCAATCACCGGCTTTGGCTCCTGCTTTCTACTCGCCTTTAGTTAATCAGATTTTGTCTCTTTTAAATGGTATGGTTCATTCAGTGAGGTGGATTCCAAGGGCAAGCAATGGGGAGGCTGATAACTTAGCTAAGAAAAAGATAGGTTGACTGTAAGGCTCTATTACTGGATTTTCTGATCCAGCGAGGAGGTCTAGTTGAAAGTAGTTGTTAAGTTTTATGTGATGTAATTTGGTGTAGTGTTTAAATCTTATGTAAACTTTTATTATCAATAAAATATTTAAGGCACTCTTTTCCTCCTTCCGCTGATTAAGGAGCTTACCCCTAAGCTCCTTTAACCAAGAAGGGGGTTTTTAATGAGGCCTTCCATTCCTATAAAAAAAATGGTAAACATGTGGATGGAAGGGGAAGGAGCTGCTGGATTTGTTGGCAGCAGTGGGGGACAACATTCATCGATGCAGGAGAGAAAGGGATCATATTAAAGGGGTGTCAGATACCCTTGTTTATGGGATTAATTATAAAGGGTAATATGAGGGGCTTGGTCTGCAGAAAAATGTGAATCTGGAGTGGAGTGAACAAGCCTAATCTGATGATAATTGTGAGCCCATTTCTCCCAATTTGAGAATTAAGTCGTCTGGGCCTGCACTGAATTTAGTACTATTGGGGTTCGGCAAACAGAGAGAGGATCGGGCGGAGCCTCAAGTAGAACTTAAGCAGGAAGTCTCGGAAGGAGCCATACGAAGAACATGAATTGTTGTTGATGGACATCTAGGTATTATGCAAGAAAGGAGTTCTTCTCCCCGCCAACGAACCGGAGACGCACAAGCAGTGGTTCAACATTATTCTGCGACAGAGTGTATAGTATATCAAATAAGAAGAAATCTAGGATTGAGACTTTTATGTGGCAGGTGGTCCTTCAAAATCTACCAGTGAGGACTGAACTGGCTAAAAAAGGGGTTTCGGATATTGTAGATCATTCATGTCTTTTATGTAATTTGGTGGATGAATCCTCTTCTCATTTATTTCTCTCTTGTTTTGTCGTGCGGTCTTTGTGGAATAAATTTTTGCAGTATTGGAGTATCAGTTCGGTCTTTCATGGAAATGCGCAAAACTTTCTTCTAGCTTGGGAAGATCTAAATTCCGGTTCTACTATTTGGAACTTTATTCCGGCTGTTGTTATGTGGATTGTTTGGAAAGCTAGAAATGACATCGTCTTCGATAGAGGGAAGTTGGATCAAACTAATTTATTTTTCTTAGCTAGAGTAAGGCTTGCATCTTGGTTCCTAGCTAAGTTTGCAGATTCGGTCATTTCTTTGGATTCCCTTATCAGTGACCCTTCCCTTGGGGATTCATGTTTCCCTCCAAACAAATCAATTGTCTCTACCATCCCGTGGTCCCTCCCTCCTAAGGGCTTTGTTAAATTGAATGTGGATGCAGCTACTAGTTCTGACTGGAAGAGCAGTGGAATTGCAGGTATCCTAAGAGATGAAGAAGGTCTACTTTTAGGTTCTTTTAAGACGCCTTTTGGTCCGGGTCCACCTATTCTGATGGAGTAAAAGGCTGTTAAGGAGGGTTTAAATTTCTTTCACTCAGTGAGAGGAGGTATTAAGGGTCGGTTGATTGTAGAATCAGATTGTAAAATGGTAGTGGATTGGATTAAGGATGGATCTTGTTATCCTGTTGTCTATGCCTCCATTGTTAGGGAGGTAGCTGTTAAACTCAAAGAAGTCGAGGGAGTTATTAGATGGGTGGCTAGGACAGCCAATATTGAGGCTGATGGGTTGGCTAAGTCTGGTATTGGTTAATTTTTCTTTGTTGTTGGGATATTTTATTTTGGGTTTTTAGGTTGTTTGTAAGGGTTTTATCTTATTATTGTATCTTATGTATCTTTATTAAATAAAGTTTAAGGCACTCTTTTCCTCCTTCCTCCGATTTAGGAATTCAATATGAGTTCCTTAAATCATGAAGGGGGTTTTTAATGAGGCCTCAATTCCTATAAAAAAAAACGGAGGTGGGTTTTTCTAGTTTGGAAGATTCTGTAGTGAATGAGGAGCTCTTATCTACTTGGCAGGTTAGCAAAATGATGGGGGTAACCTTTAGGGGGGGAAGAATGCTTTTGCCAAGAAGTTCTCGGAAATGACTACAAAAAGGGGTTAGAAGGGTGGGAATTAATCCCACAGCTCTGGATAAGGTGTAAAAATTTGTTGATAAATGGTTGGGTTCTCGTGTGTAACTTGGAATATAAGGTGGTTGAGAACGAAGGAAAAGGCAATGGCTGTGAGGAATGCGGTCGTTAACAGGAAACCTTTGGTACTATTTTTGCAAGAAAGTAAACAAAAGTTGGTGAGACCGTCTATGTTGAGAAAGTTAGGGGGAAAGAATCTTAGCGGGTTTGACGTGTCGTCGTCAATAGGGGTGTCTGGAGGAATCCTAAGTTTATGGGATGAAAATTGGTTTGTACCTCAGGTGCAGCAAATTTCTTTTAGGTTCGTGGCAATTAAGGGAATGATTAAGGAGAGCAAAGAGGATTTACTTCCGGATTCGGACATATGGAAATTCATTCTGAGTGTTGTAATTTGGACTGTATAGAAATGTCGAAATCACATGGTGTTCAAGAATGGTAGGTTGGATCAGACTAATCTTTTCTTTTTGGCAAGGTATAGGGTGGCTTCCTAGTTCTTGGCAAAGAACTCAAATTTCCCTATCCTTCTAGATTGCCTTGTGGGAGATTTAACCTTGGCTGATTTGCACCGTTTTCCTACGAAGAAAGTTTCCCCCAAGTCATAGTGGTGTCCCCCTCCTTCGGGATCTTTTAAAGTGAATGTGGATGGGGCTGTAAGTTGTGACTGGAGGCACAGTGGTATTGGTGGTTTGCTTAGAGATGCCGATAATAAGAGGTTGGGGTATTTTTTGGGAGAATCCAAACCAGACCCTCCGATCCTTGTCGAGCTTAAAGCAATTCAAGCTGGTTTAAGTTTGTTTCTGGATTCGGAGTGCTGTGATAAGGGGAGTCTTATTTTAGAAAGTGATTCTTCTATTGCTTTGAAGGGGATTAATAATCCGGAGGTTAGTCCGCTGCGTATGTTCATTTGGTGAAGGATATTGCCAGGCGAGTGATGGAGTACAATGTGACTATTAGGCATGTTTAGAGACGTTTTAATTGGGAAGCAGATAGTTTAGTTAAGTCGGGTATAGGATAGTGTGGGGTGTTTTGGTTGGGTGTGGGGAGTGTTTTGGGTGTTTTAGTGGGGATCTTTTGTACTTAAAATGATCTTTTCTTGGATGTATTCCTTATGTTAGTAATAAAATTTTGGGCACTCTTTTCGTCCTTCCAATGGCCGTTGAGTTCTTCAAAGCTTGATGGTTATGAAGGGGGTTTTTAATGAGGCCCTATTCTTATAAAAAAAAAGAGAGAGAGAGATCAGGGTAATAGATATTAAAATGACCTGCCTATAGCTCCTTTTTTAAATTAATTTGCTGTTCTGTATTATTTATTACAAATACAATTGTATGTTACTGCTATGATTTAACCTTGAACCAAGCTAATGCAACAACCCTTCCATATTTGGTTTTTGTTGTATCTTTTCCCTTCTCATCTGCTTCAAGCTGGGAACCTGGCAAGTTGGATGGCAAAGATGTTGATATTAATATTTTATGCAAAATCTTTCATGGACCCTTAAATTTCTAGGGTTCAATTTGGTGGTAAAGTTTATTAGCATAATGATTAATTCATGATTTCAAAGATTTGAAATTGATGGAAAATGTAAATGGGATGGTGTTAAAGCACACCTGGATTTGCTTGGATATCATACATTATTAGGAGTTCATATATTCCTGTTAGTCTGTTACTACAACATACAAATCTAGTTATTCTATGAATATAAGTAAACTCGCCCCAAACTAGACCTAACCAACACCGTTCTAGGCCCCATAATCCTGACCCTTCTGCTGTTGTAGGCAACTTATTAGGCCTCATAACAGTGGAGCGGGCTCACAGATGTTGAATTTGTAGCTAAGCCCAGTCTATTCCTGATCCATAAATATATTAGTATTTTAGATTTTTTTTCTTATTTGTTTATTTTTAATTTTGAAAGCAAACTACTTGAATTTATTTGCAGTCTTGAATTTTTGTGCAGTCTTGAGTGGTTATGTTAAAATCTTGTTATTAAGATTGATCTTAAACAATTTTGTGCTTGATGGTTGGTCAGTATTGTGAATTTACAGAAAAAAGGGGAGAAAAGTGGAGAGAGTTGTTTTTCTCTGCTATTCCTCTGTTATTCGAATAAAAAAATAAATCAGATCTCTTAAA